AAATCCTTGATTATGTTATCGAGGGAATATCGGATCGGCGACTGAGAAACCAGGCGCGGATGTTGAATCTGGGGAGAGGAGCCGAGTTGCTGAAGGCGTTCGAGAAGATTCGGATTGATGAGGAGAGGACGAGCGATAGAGCCAAGAGGACTGAGGACTACCAGCGGCAAAAGGACAGAGGCGACGACGGCTGAGGGGGTGAAAAGGTGTCATCGTTGTCGCGAGACGGGGCACATTGCGGCGCATTGTAGGCGGGCGCAGTTAAAAAAGCGTGTTTTGTGTGCGGATCGGAGGATCATTTCGCGCGGGAATGTCCGAAGCGGAATCAAGCCTCAACGTCGGGGGCATCAAAGGACGTAGCGCGGATCGCTACGACAAATATGGTGCATCCGGTCGATCTTCCTAAACCGTATATGATCCGCGTAAAAATTGTGCCCAGCAGCGCGAAAGAGAAATGCGTGTACGTGATAAACGCGATGATAGACTCCGGTTCGCCTATTAACTTGGTACGCAACGACGTAATTCCGCGTGAGGCGAGATGCGACACGGTAGGCGAACAGCCGTTCTACGGAATTAATGGGTCGCAGCTGGAAATCGATGATGCTTTTGTCGGTCAGTTGGAGGTCGGCGGGGTGCAGATCGAAATGAAATTTTATGTGGTACCTCGTAAGACAATGGCTTTCGATGTTTTGCTTGGGAGAGATTTTTTGAACTGTCCGCGGCTTCACGTTACGATCGGCGATACGCTTGAGATCGCGGGGGCCGAAGAGAAGCGCGCTATTAATTTGCTTATGCACATCGATTGCGGCAGCGATTCCGTTGATTCGTGCAAAGAATTGAAAATAAATCCGGCGATCGGCGGAGGGGTGTCCGCGCGAATTTGCGGAGCGTATAAGGCACATTATATTAACAAGATGCGAGTAGAGGAAAATGCGTCCAATTATGAAATGATAATTGCTCTCAAACACGAGCAACCGATAAGTTTGCGACCGCGACGATTATCCTTCGCGGATAAGGAGCTTCTGCGCGAGATTTTAGATGACTTATTAAAAAGATCAATTATACAACCAAGTAGTTCCCCGTATGCAAGTCCGATAGTCTTGGTGCGGAAAAAGACGGAGGGTGCCGTTTGTGCGTGGATTATCGAGAGTTAAATAAAATCACGATACGCGACAATTTTCCGACGGAACTGATAGACGATAATCTCGATCGTCTACAGGGAAAAGTATATTTTTCTATCTTGGATATAAAGAACGGATTTCATCATGTAAAGATGCATGAATCGTCCGTAAAATATACGTCGTTCGTTACGCCTCTCGGGCAATTCGAGTATCTGAGCATGCCATTCGGTTTGGCCAATGCCCCGCGAGTTTTTCAGCGATTCGTGCATATGGTGTTCGAATCATTGATCCGTGAAAATAAGATTTTGGTCTATCTGGATGACTTGCTGATCGCAACGAAAGGTGTGGACGAGCACATCAAAATCTTATCAAGAGTGTTCGAGATAGCAGGTGAAAATCGATTAGGGTTTCGACTTGATAAGTGTCACTTTGCCCAGACAGAAATAAAATACCTAGGTTACTGCGTAAGTAGGCATGGTATCCGGCCGAGCGACGAGAATGTTGCGTCCGTCGTTGACTATCCGGTGCCGCGTAGCGCGAAGGACATGCAGCGATTCCTAGGGCTGGCGAGTTATTTTCGCCGACAAGATAAGGCGAGCGACAAAATAAACAAGACACAGCGAAAAAAAAAGAAAAGAGCGCCGAGCGATACAACTTGCGAAGAAGAGCGGTTCGCAAATATGGCTTCAGCGATTATCTTGAAATTCGCAATGTAGAGACTGTAGCCGGTATAAATAAAAAATTAATTCTAAAGTATAAAGGCCCATACGTTGTAAAAAAGATGCTAGATCGCTGATGTGGACGGATTCCAATTGACGCAGCGACCGTACACGGATATTTTTGCGCCAGACCATATGCATCCATATATCCGTAATTAAGTTGCGACATTATTAAGAGTTTATCTGTAATATTTATTTCGTTGAGTTTGAGATCGTGATGTAAACTTATTTATAGCAATTACTTCAAATGTGTGATTTTTGTTAGACTACTTATAATAATTATTTTGAATCACGGGGATTACGATTGACCGGGTCGGTCAAGAGTCAGGCTGGCCGAGCTGTAGGCATTTTTATATATTTTATTTTATCGCGAAATACATTTAGCCGTGAATAAGAGAAAGGAAAACAAGAGAGACGTTGATTTATTTTATTTATATTTTCGTCTACTTGTCCTTCGACCGGTTTAATTTAATGTGTTGTTACATTTTTATTTATTTGTGCGACCGTAAACCGAATCTCTCTCGTTCGCCAAAGTTATTGTTTTTCGTGAAGACTAAACGATTTAAGCTGTTCAAATGAAAACTGCTCCGATTGGTCTTATACTTTGGGGTGGGAATACTTTTTGGACAACGAGTATAAATATGGAGATCTTCGAGAGAAAAGGGATCATAATTATAGTCATCATTCTGGCGGCGCAAACTACAGCGAAATCTTCGGCGTCTGTAACGACTCTACGATATATATATAGAGGATCGCAATAAATACATTTTTTAACTGGAACATAATACATATATATATCACTAATCTTTAATTCACATCCTGATTGGATTAATAACCCGAGCGATATCCATCTGTGTGGAATCTGAGGACCGAGCATCTGTCGACGACGATATAAAGGCCATCGGCCAACATTTCTAATTCCTTCATCCATCTTTCCCCTTCTTTTCCCTCTTGCAGTATTTCCTTCATTCTTTCCTACCAATTTCCTTTACTCCCTTCTTTACCACATTCTCCTATTACATGTTCTCATGTTTCATTTTCTAATCCACATAGCCTACATCTTCTTTTCTCTTTTTCTTTCCAGTATCTCGCCCCTCTCATTTTATTGTTCATTCTAAATCTTATTATCCTTCTCCATCTACTTTCCCCCCATCCCTTTTTCGAATATTAATCTCTCCTTCTTTCATTCTCCATACTATCTATTATATCTCGATTCCCTTATCCTCTCCCATCTTTCCTCTTTCTGCATTTCTTTGTCTTTCTGCTCCCATCTCTCGTATACTTTCTCTCCCCTTCCTCTCTTTTCCTTCATCTCCTTCCCTTCTTTTCCTCTTTCTTCAAAGAATTTTGCCCTCTCTTTTTCTTAAACTGATCTCTGCTTTCCTTTTCTTACTCTTTTTTTCATATCATTTCCTCACTAAACTTCCTCCAATTTCTTCTCATACCCTACTGCTATATCCATTAACCATATTCTCCCTGCCCTTATCTTAAATTTATCCTTTCCTATCTTCTCTCTTACCATGTATCCCGGCGTACACCAGTCCACTCCTAACGTCCACCTAATCCATCTTTCTTGCATTGCCTCTACTTCTCTCTTCTCCTTCCACCCCCATATTTCCGCCCCATATTCCAACACCGTTCCCACCAACCTTTCCATTAACCATATCCTTTTCATCCAATCTCCTGCAAATCTTTTTTTTCCCATTCCTCACATCTAGTCTTATCACCGCTCCTGCTTTCCTGACTCTGTCCTTTACCTGTGCCTCCTGTCCCCCATTCCTTTGCAACTTATATTCTAAATAAGTGAACTCCTTCACTTCCTTTATTTTTTTCCCTTTCCATCTCTACTCAACTTTCTTCATTCTTTCTCTTCTCTTTTTAAATCTCATTATCTTTGTCTTATCCACATTCACTTCTAATCTTTTCTTATCCATATAATTTTCCATTTTCCCTAATATGTGTATCATCCATTCTTTATTCTCCGCCAACAGTACCATGTCATCTGCATATGCTAAACAGTGTACTTTTTTCCTTTCTAGTTTCACCCTTCCCCATCCTCCTTTTCTCAGTACTTCCTCTACATCCGCTATCAACAGATTAAATAAATGTGGGCTCATTGGGCAACCCTGCCTCACTTCTCTTGCCGTCCAAAAGCTTTCTCCCTCCTCCTTCCCCACTCTTACTTTGCTCCTCGTTTCTCTGTACACCTCCTCTATCCTACTTCTTAGTCCTTCCCTTACCCCCCTATTTCTCATTGCTTCCATTAACACCTCCCTGTCCACCGAATCAAACGCCGCCTTTAAATCTATGAAAACCGCTATCACCTTACCTCCCTTCTTATTCACTTTTCTATTCACCAAATAGTTTAGAACATAAATATTGTCTATCACCCCCATTTCCTTCCTAAAACCTGTTTGACTCTCCGGTATCATATTCTCCTCCTCCATTTTCTCCCTTAATCTTTCCGTTAGTATCCCCACGTATATCTTATATAACGTTGGCATCAATGTCACCCCTCTGTAATTTTCTATTCTATCCGCCGTTCCCTTTTTTACCAGTGGCACAATTATCCCCTCTTTCCACCTCTCCGGCCATCCTTCCCCTCTCCAGACTCTGTTGCACATTTCCCATACCCACTCTTCTAGCCTCTCCTCTCCATATTTCCATACTTCACTCGGTATTCCATCCTCTCCTGCTGCCTTTCCTTTCTTTATTTTTCTCAATATCCTCTTTACTTCCCCCCTGCTTATTTTTTGTTCCTCATCCTTCTCCCTTTTTTCTTTTCCTCCTCTTACAACTTTAATCTCTACCCCTCCCAATAAGTCCATGAAGTATTTCTTCCATTCATCCGCCTTTATCTCTTTATTAACCCCTTTTCTTTTTTTCTTTTTTCTGCTTATGATTTTCCATACCTCTTCTTCTGTTCTTGCCTCTATCGCCTCTTTGTACCATCTTATCCTCTCCTCCTCCCTTTTTCCTTTACACATTAGCTTGTATTCCGCCCTTGCTTTTCTGTATCCTTCTTCTCCTCCCCCTTCTCTTTTCCTCCATTCCCTTAACTTTTTCCTCACCTCTTTCCTCTTCCCTTCACATTCCTTGTCCCACCACTCTTTTTTTTCCCTTCTCCACTCTCTTTTTCTCCTTCTCTCAATTCCTCTTCTATTCTTACTATTTTTTCCTCTAACTCCTCTTTTATTCCCTCTTTCCATCCTTCTACCCATTCTATTTCCTCTTTTATTCTTTCTCCTCCCCTCTCCGTTCATCTCCCTCTTTTTCTTTTTCCTGTTCCCTCCTTTTTCTTTTTTTCATTACCTTCTCTTCTTTCTAACGTCACGATCAATGAGTGATGGTCCGATTCTACGTTATCTCCCACCTCCATTCTTTTTATCTTTTTTTTATTCTTTTCTTTCCTACCACGTAGTCAATCACCGATTCCCTCTGTATACGTATTCCTCCTGTACACTTTTTTCTCCTGTATATGTATACTCCCCCATCTTATCCCCTCTTATTCCTCCGTTGAAAATGCCCTACTCCACCTCTTCCAGCTCTTTTATCAGCTTCATCCCCTCTTCATTAATTTTCTTGTCCTTCGATCTTCTTCCTTCTTCCTCTTTTCCTCCTATCACTCCTCCTCTTCTCCCTGTTCTTGCGTTAAAATCTCCTCCTAAGATCGTCCATTTATTTTCTTCTTTCTCTTCCATCCACTCCTTCATTTTCTCCATTTTTCTCTCCATGTCCCTGTTAATGTATATACCTATTACCCTCCAATTCTCTCTTCCCACTTCTATATTCGCCATTATTATTCGCCTCCCCCTTTTCTTCTATTTCTGTTACCTTGATCTTCCCCTTCTTCTCCTTTAATCCCCCATAATTATTCCCCCCATCGGTCTTCCTTTCTTCTTTCTCTTCTTTGCTGCTTGCTTCTCCTATCTATATCCCTTCGGTAACTTCTTTTTAATCGCCTCCCGTCCTCTTTCCTCTATTCGCGTTTCCATCATTACTACCACTTCCCAATCTTCTATTTCCTTCCAGAATTTTTCTTCTTTACTTTTCAGCCCTGCCACACATTCCAGAATCCTATTTTCCATTCTTCTCTTATTTCTTCTCCTTTTTCTTTTTTCTCTTCTTTCTTCCTCATTCCTGTCTCCATCTCCCCTCTTTCTTCTTCCCTTCTCTTCCTTCCATCCCTCTCTCTTCCTCCTTTCCTCCTTTCTTTTCTCCTCCCTTCTTCTAACCCTTTTTTCCTTCTGTTCCTATTTTCACTCTCCCTTCTTCCACTTCCATTTTTTCTATTTCTGCTCTAAATTCTCCTTTTCAGTTTTTAAGTACACCTTCCTCTTCCCATCTCCACCAATCGTCGTTGATTTTAATCCTCCCATAGCTTGTTCCTTTTCTTCTTTTCTTCCTCCGCAATCTCAATTAATTTCCGTTTTATCTTTCTTTCCTCCCATGTTAAGTCGTCCTCTATCCTCACCCTCTTTCCTCTTAATACTTTTTTCCTTTCCGTTACCTGTCTCTTTTGTTCTCTGCTGCCTAATTTGACTACCACCATTTCTCCTTCCTCTCCCTTCTTTCCTTTTAACTTTCTTCTATCCATTCAATCTCCGTTTTTGCTCCTATCTCTTTCATTATTTTTTCCACTTTTTCCTTTATATCTTCCTTCTATTCTTCAATTCTTCTTATTACTATGTTGTTTCTTCTTTCTTCTCTCTCCTTCCATTCTAATTTCTTTCCTATGTCTTTCACTTTCCCCATTATTGTCTCATTTATTCCTTTACTCCCTCCTTCACTCCTCTGTCTTTCTCTTTTCTTCTTCCTTCCTCTTTCCTCTACTTGTTTCCAACTCTATCAATCTTTTTTCCAGGCTCTCTATCTTTTTTCTCATCTCTCTTCTTTCTTCTCTCCATTCTCCCTCTTTTTTCCAAATTTCTATCTTCAATTTCCACTTCTCCATGCAGCCTTTCTGTTTTTTTACTCCTCCTTAACCCTCTTTCTTCTTCTTCCTTATCCTCCTCTCCTCCTCTCTTTTTTCCTTTTCAAAAGCTCTTTTATACATCCCATATTACTCCTCCTCTCTTTCGCTAACTCATCTATTTTTCTCAGCCTCCCTACCTTCTTTTTCATCTCTTCCTCATTTCCCTTTTTTCCCCTTCTTCTATCATCCTATCTCTATTAGTCTCTTTACTTATAATATTTTCTTCCCTATCCATTTTTATCTTATCGCTTTCTCTTCTTTGCCTCTTCTACTCTATGCTCTAACTCGCTAGTGAATTCCCTAGTAAATTTCCTGTCTTTCTGTTCTGCTTACACCTACTCCTTACCCTTATTCTCTTTCTTCCACGTGTGATTTTCCGCCTACCTCTCTCACTTTTTACTACTCTATTTTTCCAACCCTTTACCCTTTTTACTCTCTTATTTTCTCTATCGATCCTTCCTTTTTTCCTGCACCCTCTCACCCACTACTCCAAATTCTTCTCGCCATTTTTCTCTCTCTTTCCTAACAAATACCTGCCACACTTTCACACACCTGTCACTCACACTCTTACTAGAACCGGAAGCCAACATTATATAATTTAACATTATATATAAATCAATATAATTCCAAAAGTTGTGCATAAAAGTTTTGAATAAATTGTTACAAATTTTTTTAATTATTGATCAACATATAAGTAATTAAAAATAGAAAAAATAGTTTCTATAATAAGATATAAAACATAAAATAATTGTTAATTGTGAAAACGTTAATAAAGTGTTATTACAGGCGTATATTATCTCATTGCATTATGATACAGAGATATTGATAATACAGATAAGATTAAATGCGTCGTTCTTTAATTACGCGTGTGCAGCATTTTGTTGCTAACAGTTCGATTAATATTCCAAATTCTTTAAGAGAAAATTACACATTAATATAATAAAGATATTAGAAATTTTTATTTTAATTGCCGCGCATGTCAAATTTTATCCATTTTGTAACTAAAATTTTAATATAAAATACTATTAACAATGTTGCATAGCGGGAAAGAAACTAATACCTGCATTATCGACACAGTAGTGTGTCAATGTTATATCTAGTCTAAATCTGCTTTTTAAAATGACAATAAAAGCAACTGTTAATCATTGATATTGTAGTGTTAATATGCTTGTGGTTGTTCGCTGCTATTTAATTAATATTGGATTATTTAAATAGAATCGACAATTTCTAGTTTCGTATATAGTATTTATTGTTAGTATATTAAATTATTTCTGTAAATTAGATTTCTCAAAGACTTACTGGATGAGTTACATTGGAATGTTATAAAATCTATCAAATTTTATCAAAGTTATTTTTATTCAGGTTATTTATTTTTATTTTAAGATAATTGACAAACCGAATTATAAGAGACAAATTTTGCTTGGTATACTGCCAAGACTTATTTAGGAAATGTCTTAATTTAAAATTACTTAATTCCTGTATTTCCCTCTGACCCCCTGTAAAGGTATAGGAGAGAAAAATATCGGTCTAAAATGCTGAATCGGAAATCGAGCCTATTGACAGTATACCAAACAAAATTCATGCCCTGTTGCACAATTATAGAATTGTCGCGAAAAATTAATTTTCGCTATAATTAACTCACAAATATCCGCATTCTGTTCTAATAGCTCATTTATTTCATATATATAATTTATTGCAACTGACTTTTCCCTCGTAAATGGAGAAGACGCGCAACTTCGTCGTGTCTTTCGTGTTATACACGCTCCTCACTTTCGATATCTAAAGTTTGGGCGCCAAATATGGTCAGGCCGCACCACTCGGAAAAAATCACGAAATTCTCGTAATACACGACGGCTCAACCTTGGTAGCTCGGTATCTGTATCTTGGTAGAGTAGCGTGGTTCTTTTATAGAGAGTACTGGAATTCTAAGTTCCGGAGAGAGAGAGAGAGAGAGAGGGAAAACAGGCATATAATTAACACATTCGGATTTTAGTTAAAAGTGTATAATATATATTTCGGAGTGTGTATAAGTTCTTGGTACAATTAGATCGAGGAGCTAGTCGGAGATCGTTGTTCCTTCCGACGTCATTTCATGATCTTACAATTATTATCATGCTAGTTCGGCACTCTCGATATTCTGTTTTTTCATATACTCTACAACTTCTTACGGCTTACTCAATATGATTACTCAACAAAGACTCGATATTACAACGATATTATAAAGACTCGATTTTACAATAATTTTATAAAAACTCGATATTGCAATGTTGGCGCCGTTTTGGAATACACCGGCGCTTTAGCGGCGCCATCTGGGCGCATCGAGTAGTAGTAATGGTAGAAGGAGGTTCATTATTATATATGGCGGCGACAGCAAGGAAGCCATACGTTTTCTCTGTATTAATTTCTCCCAATAAATTATATTCAGTGCAATAGTATCCAGACAGACGTAGTTCTCTCGACCTGCATACCACATCACAAGCCACACCACAGATCATCGGCGCAACATTGATCCTTCGAGCCGGATAATAGTAGAGGCACACCAAGAGTGTGGAATACTACAAGAGGAGTGGACATTGTGGAAACATCGAGATCAAGCATTTGATCATCGCAGCTAAGGAGAGTGCGGGTAACGAATTCATTTATATTGAGAAACGCACGGCTCTCTACTTTCTCGCGCTCAAGCGAGCTATTGCCGTCCTTCTCCAACGGACTACGCACGGTTCTCTCTCTCGCGCTCAAGCGAGTTATTGCCGTCCTTCTCCAACGGACTACGCACGGTTCTCTCTCTCGCGCTCAAGCGAGCTATTGCCGTCCTTCTCCAACGGACTACGCACGGTTCTCTCTCTCGCGCTCAAGCGAGCTATTGCCGGCCTTCTCCAACGGACTACGCACGGTTCTCTCTCTCGCGCTCAAGCGAGTTATTGCCGTCCTTCTCCAACGGACTACGCACGGTTCTCTCTCTTTCGCATTCAAGCGATCTACAGCCGTTCTTCGCCAACGGAATACGCACGATTCTCGTTCACCCAGGAACGCTACGGGCATCTTTTCAACGGATTCTGCAGTTCCTTTAGCATCCAGACGAACAATATTTTCAATGCATACACGAATGAAGGATTAGCCATTCAAGGACGATAGGAGTAATACAACGTGGGGATGCTCATCGAGAATCGAAGACTGCGTTTGTTTATAAGATAAGTAACATATTGTGATCGATAATTATCGACGTAAGTTGACAATAACGTTCAAATCAATTATTAATAAGTTTAGGCATATTAATTATTATTGAGTCAATATGGAAGAACTAGCATTATTAGTGAGACAGCGCGGTAGAGTTCGAGCGAGACTCACGGCTTTTAAAACTTTTTTGGCAAAGCTTAACGACAATCCGGAAAAGATAGTCGAAATACGTAGTCGAATAGAAAAGGCTGAACAATTATGGATAGAATTCGATACAATTCAAAATAAAATTGAAGATATTGATGATTCTGATATACAAGAATCAGAAAGAATAACGTTTGAAGATTTATATCATGAATTATTGTCTAAAGCTCGCACAATATCGATGATTGAAGGCTCAACTTCTTCGGCTACTAATTTTAATATACAGCCTATCGCGCAAAACGATCCATTGATTGTTCGTCCAATGGTAAAATTGCCTAATATTGATTTACCAAAATTTGATGAAAATTATGAGAGGTGGATACCTTTCAGGGATTTGTTCGAGTCACTTATCGCGTCGAATGTTGTATTACTCAATGTGCAAAAATTACATTATTTAAGATCTGCATTGACAGGCGAAGCCGCCAAAGTGATAGACTCATTAGAAATTAGTAATGATAATTACGCGGTAGCATGGAATTTATTAAAGCAAAGATTTGAAAATAAGAGATTAATAGTACAATATCTTATTCAAAAGTTACTTGACATTCCAGCTATCACTAAAGAGTCACATGCAGATCTTAGACAATTGGTGGATAATATTTCACAATATACACAGTCGTCAATAAAACTCGGCCAACCTGTAGAAAGTTGGAGCACGATAATTATCCATATCATTTTACCGAAAATTGACAAAGGATCTCGACGTGAATGGGAAGCCAAGCGATCTGTTATAGAAGCGTTTCCTACGTTAACTGAATTTATAGATTATCTTGTTAATCGCAGTGGTTTTTTAGAAGCGGTGAATCGGGCGAATCAAAATTTGCAAGGCGTAAGTAATCACGTGCGGAGGGATAATAAAGCTCATCCAAGCCATACTAAGAATGTAACTCAAGCATATGTAACGTCAAGCGATTCATCGTGCGTACTGTGTTCAGGTAATCATCGGTTACGTGAATGTCAAGCATTTCTTAAAATGCCAGTTAGGGATAGGATATCCGAAACAAAAAAGAAACGTTTGTGCATAAAGTGTCTTAGAGAATTTTATGGTCGAAGTTGCAAGGCATCTAATTGTAAAACATGTAAAGGTTATCATAATACACTTTTACACATAACTGATTCACCAGATGAAAGATCATCCGAAAGGGTTGAATCGAATAACACAGACACAGTAAATACTGTTCTCAATCATTGTAGCGTTAGAGATGTTACTCATGTGTTTCTTGCTACTGCTATTATTTACATACGCGATTCTCACGGCAACCCACACGAATGTCGCGCTCTTCTTGATAGCGGATCGCAATCTAATTTCATAACAAAAAATTTTTGTGAACGCTTGCATTTAACACACAAAACTATTGATCTTAAAATTAAAGGTATTAGTAACACTCCGATTAGCGCTATTCAGACGATTCAAGCGACCATCGAATCACGAGTGAATTCAGCAAAATTTACAATTCCATTTATAATAATTAATCAAATAACGGAATATTTGCCAACAATTAAAATAAGTCAAATCAAATTCGACATACCGCCAGAAATAAAACTAGCGGATCCAACTTTTTGTACACCTGGGAAAATAGACGCATTATTAGGCGCTTCCATTTTTTGGGAATTAATGTGCATGAGACAAATACGATCTGCAGAAAATACTCCTATTTTTCAGGAAACATTATTAGGATGGATAATATTTGGCGCGATTCCCATCGATGACAAAAAACAACGCAATAATGAAGTATATTGTGGATTGTCTACTTGCGCTTTACAGCAACAATTAGAAAAATTTTGGACGATCGAGGAAGTTAAAGTCCCGCCACATTGTTCGTCTAAAGAAAAACAGTGCGAAGAGCATTTTATTTCTACTCATCGTAGAGATATAGATGGTCGTTTTATAGTACAACTACCGCTAAAGGATACAGCAGAAAATTTAGGAGAATCATATATTATTGCGGAAAAACGTTTTAAAGCATTAGAGAGAAAGCTGGAAAGGCAATCTGAATTAAAGGCTCAGTATCATGAATTCATGGCGGAATATTTAAAGCTGCACCACATAAGTGAAGTTCAGATCGAAGAAAAACATAATAAGCCAGCTTACTATATTCCGCATCATGCTGTAACAAAAGAGGATAGTACAACGACAAAACTAAGAGTCGTCTTCGACGCGTCATGTAAAACATCATCTGGAAAATCCTTGAATGATATACTCATGCTAGGGCCAATTCTTCAAAATAGTTTATTTGATATTATAATTCGTCTAAGACAACATAAATATGCCATGGCAGCCGACATTGCCAAAATGTATCGCCAGATTGCAGTAGATCATAAAGATCGCAAATTCCAACGTATTTTATGGAGATGGGACAAGAAAGATCCTGTACAAACATTTGAACTCAATACAGTTACTTATGGTATGACGAGCTCACCATTTTTGGCAATTCGATGTTTACAGGAAGTCGCACAACAGATGATATCTGAATATCAAAATGCTGGTGAAACAATAATAAGAGATTTCTATGTGGACGACCTATTAACGGGAGCGGATACAATAGGGGAACTTATACAACTGAAACAAGAGATTATACATATTTTAAGTTTTGGAAAATTTGAATTGAGAAAATGGATCTCCAATCTTGCACAAATCTGTGATCAATTTGACAATGAAAAAAGACAAATTACATCGAACGAATCGACGAAAATTCTCGGCTTGTTATGGAATACTAAGACTGATGCCTTTCAATATCGAATAAAATTAAATATTAGTGAGAATAAAACAACTAAACGTATTATATTAGCTAATATTGCACAGATATATGATCCGCTCGGATTATTAGGCCCCATAATAGTACAAGGTAAAATACTGATGCAATACCTGTGGCAATCAAAATGTAAATGGGATGAAGGAGTTACTACGGAAATTAAAGATATGTGGCTTCAATGGAAGTCACAGATTGGTAGTGTAGAACAGCTTACAATTCCGAGAAGAATGCTTTGTGATAATCCTGAAGAAATAGAAGTACATGGGTTTTGTGATGCATCGGAAAAAGCATATGGAGCATGCTTATATTTTCGTACTACTAATTCGAGAGAAAATTATACTGTTAGATTAGTATGTGCTAAGTCACGTATAGCACCTATTAAAAGAGTGTCATTGCCAAGACTGGAATTATGCAGCGCAGTTTTATTGGCCAATTTAGTTAGAAATGTATTACAATCCTTGACAATACAAATACATAAAGTATATTATTGGACTGATTCCACTATAGTCCTTGCATGGATAGCACGAGAGCCTACACATTGGAAAACATTTGTAGCCAATAGAGTGGCCGAGATACAGCGTGAAACGAAGAACGCACAATGGTATCATGTTCGGTCGGAAGATAATCCTGCGGATCTATTGTCGAGAGAAGTCAGTCCAGCAAAATTAAAAGAGAAAAGAATATGGTGGGAAGGACCACAATTCTTACAGCATAATTCAGTATTTGTGCCATTTAGTGCAGAAAACATTTACGAAGACATAACAGAAAAACGCACAACTAACTTACTTGTTCTTAAAGAAGCGAATGAATATATGGCTATCATCGAACGATTTTCGTCATTATCACGACTGAAGAGAGTTACTGCGTATTGTCTACGTCTTGCGAAAAGGAGTGTTCAAAATACATCTCAACAATCAAAATTATTAACCGTATTGAAGTTAGAACATGCCATGAAAACACTCATCAAAGGCTGTCAAGCTCATAGTTTTGCAGAAGAACTACATAATTTAAGCAATAAAAAGCGGCTGCAATCTAAGAGCAAATTGTTAACATTAAATCCGTTTTTAGACGAAGAGGGCATCATTCGTGTGGGGGGAAGGTTGTGTAATGCGACTATAGAATATTCTCAAAAACATCCCATTATTTTGCCTAGTAAACATCACCTCACTACATTAATAATTAGAGATGCACATTATAAGAATTTACACGCTGGATCACAAGCGATATTAATGATGGTGCGTAATAATTATTGGCCTATTTCAGGTAGAGAAGCGGTACGTCGCGTGTTAAGGTCTTGCATAGTATGTTTTAGAGCAAAACCAACAGTCGCACATCAATTAATGGGCAATTTACCCGCTGTGAGAGTGACTCAACAAATACGTGCATTTTTACACACAGGATTAGATTATGCAGGCCCATTTACAATTAAAATATCGCGCAATAAAACGAGCAAAGCATATTTAGCCATTTTCATTTGTCTTGTTACAAAGGCGGTACATTTTGAACTAGTTTCGGATTTAACTACAACAGCATTTCTTAACGCATTGAAAAGATTTATTGCTCGTAGAGGTAAATGTATAGCTTTATACTCGGATAATGGCACCACCTTTGTAGGCGCTAATAATCAACTTACGGAACTAAAAAATTATCTAATAAAAGAAACGACTCAAAATCAAATTCATGAGTATTTAGCGGAACATTTCATTGATTGGAAATTTATTCCTCCATATTCACCTCATATAGGCGGGCTGTGGGAAGCAGCTGTGAAATCAGCCAAGACTCACATGCGTAAAATTATTGGAACCGTAACATTAACTTTTGAAGAGTTATATACAGTATTTACTTTGATAGAGGCCTGTTTAAATTCAAGACCACTCACTCAATTATCAAATGATCCGACAGATCTACAGCCTTTGACACCTGGTCATTTTTTGATAGGAGAAGCTATAAACACAATTCCGGAACATGATCTTAGTGACGTTTCGACGAATCGCTTGACGCGTTATCAATTAATTATACAGTTGAGACAACATTTTTGGACCAGATGGTCAAAGGAGTACATTGTGCAATTGCAACAACGAATTAAATGGAAACAAGAAGGTATCATAAATTTAAGTAAAGGAATGATGGTATTATTAAAAAATGAAAACACATGTCCGATGACATGGCCGTTGGGACGAATTGTAGAAATACATCCCGGAACAGATGGAATTACAAGAATAGTCACGGTTTGAACTAGTCGTGGGCTATGCAAGCGTGCAATAACTAAACTGTGCGTGTTGCCCATCGAAGACAATGTACAAATATAACCCTAACTTTCAAACAAACATTAATATTTTCGTAGATATTAAGTTCTTGTGATGCATAATGCGGCTGTTCTAGTAGATATTAAGTTTGTAAGACTGCGTTATTATAGTATTAACAGTATGGCACAGCTGTGTTGTGTTTTTTATTTTATTTTTCTTAAAATTTTATTTTCACAAGTCATATAGTGGCTTGTAGTTGATACATCAGTTTTTTTTTTATGTTGTAAGCCTATGCCTTTCAAGGGGGGCAAAATGTTGGCGCCGTTTTGGAATACACCGGCGCTTTAGCGGCGCCATCTGGGCGCATCGAGTAGTAGTAATAGTAGAAGGAGGTTCATTATTATATATGGCGGCGACAGCAAGGAAGCCATACGTTTTCTCTGTATTAATTTCTCCCAATAAATTATATTCAGTGCAATAGTATCCAGACAGACGTAGTTCTCTCGACCTGCATACCACATCACAAGCCACACCACAGATCATCGGCGCAACATGCAATGAATTTCACGCGTACAACGAATTGTTGGCTTGTTACGGCGCCCCTCGGAGAGGCCAAAAAGGCAAAAAAAATTGCGAAAAAAACCGCAAATACACGGATTTTCAACGCAGGTCCCATGCTTCGTAAGTACAATTATATCAGTATTATTATTTCTCAATCCGAGCTCACAGACTCGGTACGCGATGTCTCTTTGAATACACGGGTCCCAGTCGGGTCCACGCTTACCGGAACGTCGAAGTGGTGGCCTTACAATTCTCGTGACGTCGTTCGATGCTCCGCGTGTGCTGGGATCGCCGTCTAGCTGAACAGTGGGCGGCGTTGAGCCAGCGTTACGTCGGTAGTTTCGCGCGGTAGCGCCGTGGTCGCCACTCCGGGTCAACCATCGATCTGGATATCGATATTTTCCTTATCGCGGTTTGCGGGCTCCTGAACTTTGCAGGATTCCGAACTTGCCCTCGGGAACTTGTTTGCCGCAGAAAGTCTTTTAGGCAGCCCCGTTTCTATTCTGGATGATCCGTGTTGTATTTTCCGGTGGACCAGTACGTTGCGGGAACCGTCTCTGAATGATCAAGCCCGAGCAATCCCGTTGTCCTTTCGGGATGCTGTCGCGGGCCCCTCGGGAATAGTCATCTCTGTCTTGAGATGCAGGCGCCTGTTTTCTCCCTTCAATATCGCAGACAGTCGGCTCTCCGATGCTGTAAGGAATTTCAGAGCAGTAACGGCCCTTATGTGACTTGGTACGATAAATTCTATTAATTCAATGACTTACATGGCCCCGCGCGTCTCGGCCATGCCGCTCCATCCTCTTCTTTTGCTCCTCTCCGTGCCTTTTTTTCCTACAACATTCCTTCTCGGGACTCAACTCGATTTCCGTTAACAAATCAAAAATGGCGAGTCGACGACAGAGTCGCCGCTCGCCCGCAAAAACCAAAATCGGAGCGCTATCCGAACCCTCTCGGCCGGGCGCATCCGCCTTTGTGACGAGTGCAAAATGCCACGTCACAATATATATATGGTAATTGTATAAGCTTATATATTTATACAAATTTGGAGTGAAAAGTGGTCCAGTAAGTAAAGTCATAAGACGATAAGCCTAAGGTCCCAGGTTCGAATCCAGTTCGAACCAAACATTTCACATGTCTGTCGGGAAAAGGTAAAGAAGGAGGATATGGAGAGATGAGGAAGAAGGGAGGCAGGTTCAGATGGAAGGAGAAGAAGAAGGAGGGAGAGGAAAGAGAAGGAACGGAAGGAGAAAATGATAGAGAGGTGGAAGGAAGAAGAGAGGGGGAAAAAGACAAGGATTTGGAAATGGAAAAGGAAGAAGGAGGAGGAAATTGTAATGTGTGAGTTGATTAAGTTGATTAAGATTGTAGAGGTTTGGGAACGCCCTTATCAGAAAAAAGCGCCGTATTGTATTGTATTGTAACGAGTTGGATAAGAGAAGTTGTAAAGATTCGAGAACGCTCCTATAAAAAAAGAGCACCATAATGTATTGTATTGTAATGAGTTAGATAAGAGATTGTAAAGGTTCGGGAATGCTCCGATTAGAAAAAAGCGACTTGTAAATCCCTAGGGAACACAATAAAAAATGTTATGTTATAATTATACAATATAAAATAAAAGCTCTATTCGATAAAATCAAATTACAAAAAGAGGGCAAATGTCGTAGCAAGAAAGTCGTGCTATAAAAATACGAGGGTGACTATTTATATTTCGGGAACTGGCAACACTGATGTCATGTGAGTCCATCTGACGGTTCCATCGTGAAGCTTGACATTTATTTATTTTATATTTAGTTGAAAGTTTTGTTTCGGCAAAAGATGGAACTGAATCGTGAACATTTTTGTGCGATGATTTTTTTACGACTTTTGACGTGGATTATTACAACAAGAGTGCATCAATCAACTTAATTTGACTTTTGGCGATGAAGCTCTATCAAAAACCACTGTGTATCGTTGGTATAGTAAATTCAATCGTGGTCGTAGTTCGCTGTCCGACAAATTTTGTGAAGGTCGTCCAAAATCGGTTATCTGTAGTGCCAACATCGATGCTGTGTAGGAAATGATTAAGCAAGATCGTCATGTAACCTATTGTGAGATTGAGGCATCCCTAAGCATTAGTTCCACCAGCATATATGCGATTTTACATGAACACTTATCTGTGCGAAAGTTATGTTCGCGTTGGATCCCACATAATTTGATAATCGCTCAAAAAAGGCTCGTGTCGATTGGTGCAAAGAAATGCTTAAGAAATACAATCGCGGTGCTTCAAAAGACGTTTATAAAATCGTGACAGGTGACGAATCATGGATATATTCGTATGAGCCCGAAAGTAAGAAGCAGTCGACTATATGGGTGTTCCAAGATGAACCAAATCCAACAAAAGTTGTTCGCGCACAAAGCACTTCAAAGAAAATGGTGGCCTGTTTCTTCGGAAAAACTGGTCATATTGCAACAGTGCCTCTAGAGGATCGTAGAACAGTAAATTCTGAGTGGTACACAACTATCTGTTTGCCAGAAATCTTCGGGGAAATAAGGAAAACAAACAAGAGACGTCGGATTGTTCTTCATCATGACAATACGAGCTCTCACACATTGGTTCAAACAAGAGACTATTTGAGCACTCAAAACATCGAATTGATGGGTCATTCGCCGTACAGCCCTGATTTGGCACCCAATGATTTCTTTTGGCTCCCATCTGTGAAGAATAAACTGTGTGGTCAACGATTTTCATTGCCCGAAAAAGCTATTGAAGCGTTCAAAAATCATGTTTTGGAGATACCTCATTTGGAATGGAATAAATGCTTTGAAAATTGGTTTAAGCGTATGCAAAAGTGTATCAATCATCGTGGCGAGTACTTTGAGAAACAATAAAAATATATTCGCAGCTTAACTATTTGTTTTTGTTCCTATTCCCGAAATATAAATAGTAATCCTCGTAATTGACTAATATGTCAAGTGAAATAAGAAATAAAACGTTTCGGTTTATTTTAAACCATCTTCAGTTAAAATAGAGTTACAAATTATAATCATTTAAATATTAAGGCGCAGTGAAATAACAAATACAAAACGCACGCATTATACGATAAGTGTCGCATTGGAATTGGCCAAGATATTAAGTCTTAGGAACAAAAAACTGTAATACAAAATAATAATTACTTGTAAACGATTCTACTCGACATTATATGAAGATATGACTTTTTTTTAAAGAATAATTATTATCATATTAAAAACAGAGAAAAATCTATACTAGATTATAATAAGCTTACATTAGGGGGTGAAATGGTAGATCAGTAGGTTAAGTCGTAAGACAGTATGCCTAAGGTCCCAGGTTTGAATCCAATTTGGGCCATTCACCCTACATGCCTGCATGGTTCAACTGGAAGGAGAAGGAGAAAAAATGGATTAGGAAGGAGAGGAATTGGAGACAAGGAGTAAGGAAATGGAAGAAGGAGGAAAGGGGAGAGTAGGTGCGAATGGAATAAAAGGGATCATAGAGGTTTGGGAACGCTCCTATCAGAAAAAAGCGCCACACATGTAACATATTGTAACATACTGTAACAGGAGAAGGAGGATGTAAGGGGTTTGGCGGTCCCCTTGAAAACGCCCCGGCAACCTACAGGGAGTCCGGAATAAACTTGAATTGAATAAGCTTACATTATACAGTGTTATAAAATTTAAAAAATATATAAATATAAATGTAAAACGGTATTATAAAATTAAAATTAATACTGATTGAAAAACGGTGTTATAAATTAAATAACATGTTTAAAAAATTGGCAAGTAACAAACATATACTCACAGATATAGTTCATAACGAATACGCACATTGACAGCTGCATGAGAAACTTATATAATATAGGTAGAGACCGGAAGAGAGCATGTTATGTATGATAGTAATATCAGAGACCCACTGAGAAATGTTAGGATGTCAAACTTTTAGTTAAAAGAGGGCCTAAAAAGAATAAAACGTAAGAGGGTGGGGGAACTGAGACAAGTTAGTGGGGAGAAAGAATGAAGAGAGTGGAGTGGAGATGGAAAGGAAAAAGGTTAGAGGAAGTGAAAGAATTCACATATTTAGGGTATAAGCTACAGAGGAACGGGGGGCAGGAGGCGCAGGTAAAGAACAGAGTTAGGAAAGCAGGAGCGGTGATAAGACAGGTGTGGGGAATGGGAAAGAGAAGGTTTGCAGGAGACTGGATGAAAAGAGTATGGCTAATGGAAAGGTTGGTGGGGACGGTGTTGAAATATGGGGCGGAAATATGGGGATGGAAGGAGAGGAGAGAGGTGGAGGCAATGCAGGAGCGATGGATTAGGTGGAAGTTAGGAGTAGACTGGTGCACGCCGGGGTATATGGTAAGAGAGGAGATAGGAAAAGACAAATTTAGGATAAGGGCAGGAAGGAGGGCGGTAGGGTATGAGAGGAAGTT